CTTTGAAAGATGATGAAAAACGTAACCAGATCATGCTGGACCTTGCTGTGTATAGGTAAAGACATTTTATTATGCGTTTATTTAATGGCATTTCTGACCCTTTTCATTCTGTTTCAATCTCTTGAGTTGTGAAACACTTTGAAATGAAACTTGGTTTGATAACAAACAGCACCAACTCCTCTCCCGGCACTTCTGTCTACCTCTGCCTACTTTTTGATTCCTACCTGAAAAACTATAAATTAACTTGTATTTTTAAAAAAATTTGTGATCAAGGCAGGAACTTTGTTTTGTTTATTTGGTCCTTCCTCCTTATAGCTCCGACACCTAAAACAGTGTCTGGCACCTAGTAGGTGCTTAATATGTACAGGAACGAATGAATGAGTGAATGAATGAATACTGATGATGGGAGCCATGCAACATTTACATGCGTGGATTATAACAGCCCTCTTTTTAAGGGCTGTTTCATATACTCTATTTTATTGAAGTTCTTGTAACCCAGTGAAGTAAGAGGGATTGTTATCCTGGAATTACCAGGAGGTGTCTGTGATTTTTCAATCATCACTGCACTTTCTGATGTTCACAATCAACGTTTTAAATAATTATTTGGCTAACTGAGCAAGGTGAAATCTACATCCCTCATGTGTTCAGAAAGTCAAGGAGAATAGCTGCCACCTGATCCTGGGGTCACTTCCCTAGAGAGAAGGCTTTGCTTACTCAGCGGGGATATGCCTTCACCGGGAGACGCAAAGCCAGTCCAGGAGAGATGGTATCAGGCAGCTGCTGCTAACAAGGCAGAAGCTGGTGGTGGCAGGCCCCAAGCTTAGTGCATTCAGCATTCCTGGCTATTCAAGCCAGTCTTAGGGGCTTAAAATAAAATATTCACGAAAAAACATGCCGAGCTGTTTTTTTGCAAACCTCTGATGTTTCAGGCCTCAGATATTTTTGGGTTAGGGGCAATCAATGCCAAGTGTATGTGTGGGTCTAAAAATGAAATTGCTGATATGTTGCATTTCCTTTGGTTGCGGATTATTTCAAGGCTAATGTTTAAAGATCTGGTTAGCATGGAAATTTTAAACTCTCTTCATTGAAAGTGGTCCCATAAGTGTGAATTTGTACTTGTAGATGCATTTGCAAACTTAATGTCTTTGAAAATCACAGGATTTAGTACATTTAATATGTTTAATTTTCAAGGTATATGGATACCTCTTTAATCGATGTGGATGTGCAGCCAACTTACGTGCGAGTGATGGTCAAAGGAAAGGTGAGTACAATGCTTTCGACTGTTACAATTTCAAAAGCCAAGCCTTGGACGAAGGTGGGTTGCCTGAAAAAAAAATTTAAGCAATTTAAAATAGAAAAAGAGAAACCCAAGCAGAGAGCTATTTTTTAGGCACATGATTTTATACCATGGGAGTGGTATTCAGCAGTAAA